GTTAGCAAACACATCGTTTAGAGCTTTCTGACAATACCGACATCTGTTCGGCAAAACACTCTTGACTGGGCATCAAAAGCACTTGGAACCCCCCTCCCCAAAAAGCCTCGTATCTGCCCAATTCCCTCCCGCAGATGTATAAACCTGCCTGAAAGCTCTCTTTGGCCTCAAAGTGTTTATCCCATTTTCCGTGTGTATACTCAGTATAGGATTTATCTTGGAACGATTTACATATTAACTGGGTGACGGGGATTTAGGAGGGCTTTCTTTGCTAGATATTTTCTCTCATATAAAAAGTACTTCATCAATCCGTGAGTCTGGCGTGGAATGATATTCTCAGCTTGCCCACTTTGAATCCACGTCATCGAAGTGGCAAGAGACTGTTCAAGATTCAAGACATTATTATATCAGAAGCCCATAAGAGGATAAGCTAATTAACTGCCTAGGTACTTACCAGCCGATCAGAGAACAAAAGACTTCAGGAGACAAGTGTCTAAGAACAGAAGGTAAATCAAATCTTCGATATTATTGAGGCTTTTGTTTGAGACCCCCTCTCTTTGAAGTTTCGGCTCGTCCTATCATCGCTTGTGCATTCTTACTGTCGAATCTGTAAAGTACTCTTTCTTCCCGCTCTATTATTCGAGAGTAGCTGGAGATGACAACGAGCGGGTAGTATATGGTGACGTAAATAAGGTTTGCTTCCACTGAGAGATTGGGCTGGAATATTTTTCCCTCTTGCGACCTTTACGTGCATATCTAATATCAACAAAGAGAAATCTTGTGGTTCAAGGTCAATTCCATGTAAACTCTAGAGAGATTAGTAACTCAAATTTGATATTTATTGGCATTCCGATGAATATTTATATAGCAATGCATCGATCTTCTGACGCGTGAAACTCCACAATATTCACTTGAGCCTGTTTTGACTCTTGAGGCTAAGAAAATCTAGGTTACATTTTGCATAGAGAGGCAGGGGTATGAGAATTTGTGGGTAATATTGAATCTTTTACTCAATGCCTCCTCCGATTTCACCTCGAGGCATGGGCAGGATGTTGAGCTGAAAGTTGGAGGTATTACTATATAAGAAAGTATCAAGATAGCCACGGTCGAAACATTGCGCAAAGAAGTTACGAATGGTTTGAGATCCCAGGGCGTTCAATATGTGAATACAAATGTACACGATGGAAAATGGTCTAGAAGTTAAACTTGGGAAGACTTCAACAACGGAACTCAGAAGATGATAAAGAAGCCTGGGAGCTTTCATCGCCATGTAGAGTAGAAACGGCAGAGAAGCAACAACAGCAACAACAACCAGAAAACGTAAAAGCATCGCCGCATCTCAAACATTTTCGTCGCTCATTCATGAAGAGATGATATCATTCCCGCAATCTGGACCATAATCTTTTGCCAAAACGACCCTCAAAATCTTGCCTTTGCGCTCTCCAGGTTCTTGGAATTCTAAAACATGCTTTTAAATCTAGACTTTGATTTCTAGAATCATTACTTGCATCCCGCTTGATAAAAAATCGTGATCACGAGCACCTGTTCATGTCTGCCCGGCTTGATCTACAGCTGTAGAACAGAGTAGAACAAAGCTAAGGTACAGCTAGAAGTTGTGGAGTATTTTCTTGGTGTCAGTTGTGACTTTCATGCTTTTGGCCTAAGCTGAATTTGACAGCGAAGTTCTCGTTGTTGGTTTCTATCTTTGTGTTGCGACTTATAACTCAACGCATTCTCATCGATGCGAGGTCTGAAGTCGCCCAACTCCCGTCCTAGTAAAATTGAACTCTGCGTTCTACGGCGGCAAACGATTGCCGAGGCTTTAGCGTAGGCGACATATATAAGGAAGTGATTTTCCCAAAGATTAAATACGCCAAAAGCATTAGGAGTCCAGAAGGAACATTTGATGGTATCTGATATTCGACTCGCGGCGCCGTGCTTCTTGTTTCGTACTCCATAGCTAACTTAAGTGGCAAAATGTGTGATAATCCAAAGTCTCCCTGGTGGAGTCGAACACAGCCTCGACACCAATAGTGAAGCATTTCTGCTGTTCAAAAATATCTATATTTAGTTAATAATTATTGTCACTGAAGTCTTCTTGCACAGTGCTCCATATCGATTCACCAACTTACTAATCCGAGAAGTCAGAAATCCACATTGAGTCGTAGAATATGGGAAGTAGGTTAAAAGAAAATTGCACGGTACTAACTTATACTGCTCAACTTCTTTCCAGACTTGCCTGTATAGTCTGGCTATCGTCGGCCACTTTTCTGACTAAAAATTGTATTTTTCTGACATGTCTCAAATGTCTGAGGTTGAGAATTTTGAGCTGCGAGCGAGGAAAGACTGGAAATATAGTGGACTTAATGAATGTATGTGAGTTTTGGTAAGAGAGTAAATGGGATAATCATCTACGATTCATTATTGTCCGATTGATAAAATACCTAGGTCTTTGATGTCTCCTGTTCCATCGTACTCGTTCTGAGATCATGGAAAGACACAAATGTTTGTATGACGGCCCAAGGCAGTGGCAAGCTACTCACATCAAGAAATATGAATTCAAACCACGGGAAGGGGACTCACGTAGTAAACGGCTTGTAGAAACATCAATTAGTGAAATACAGCGATGGAAAGCTCAAGATCAAAACGGTGAAGGAACGACACGAATTCATGTGCCAATATTTCCAACAATCAAGCCATGTAATTTTAAAAAAGACAACTCCAAACTAGTTGTTTGACCCATACAACACTGTCGGCGAAAGCAAGTAGCGATGATGGGCGAATCAATAACTTAGATGTATCGATAGATGTATCGATAGCAACGAATACCAAGAGTGGAACGGCAGCGAAAGATTATTCATTCTTCTCCTAATTTCAAACCTCCTCAAATCTCCAAACATTTCCATGATATCAGCATTGTAGCTTTTAAGCTACAAGGACCGAGTATATGTCCCCATCGACATCAATACGGCCTAGGACTTGACATTTCTAATTATTAGGAATGAGCATGGTTTGTAAACATATTCATGTCTTGAAGATAAGAAATTGGTTTATGAAATCAGAATGGGAGTCATATGCAACCCACCAGAGGAATAATCGTAGATTGTAAGGACAGGAGAACGAGTCTAGGCGAAGGCTGACTTCAGCATAATCTAAGCGCACAAACAGAAGATCACACTTTCTAAAGCAAACATATAGCAGACGAGAAGTGGCATATTTTGGTTGAGGTATCGTATCATATTCGTATATTTTGTGCCCCTCGTCCGTCCAGAATGTGGATCTACTCGTACATTTTGTCCCTTTCAACTACTGATACACCATCCTTTCCTTCCTACCTCGCAGGAGCATCTTCGAACTTCACTTTCCCAACTTTATTAACCTCCGCATAATGAAAGCCAGTCGGCACATCCCTAATTTGCTTCGTAACTTGTGAAATTGACTTGGGTTCTTTTGCCAATTCAATAGCTTCCGTTACGGCACCCGGTGGAGCATCCGCAATTTCGTTGATATCTTTATTCGTCAAAACGTCGCTAATCCTTGTCGCCCTTGTAGACATTAAAAGTGTAGTTGGTCCTCTAAATTGTAAAAATAGCCTGTCACCCCAGATAGTCCTTCTCATTGCAGTCCTCAGGGTGAAAGCTATCCTCTTCACAAAATTCCACGAATCTGTTTGTTGCATAACCCTGAAGAATTTGATATCTGGCAATAGCTTACTGAATCCTAAGGTTGGGATCTGTAATTTTAAGATCGAGGCCTTTAATCTGTAGGGAAGAGGTAGATTTTGGTTCATTGTGTACGCCACAACATTTCCTGGATGTGCGACAAATTCCTCCCCTTCTTTCAGGGTAATTTCGTAGATTCGACCTGCTCCAGCCAAAGCTACAAGCCCTCTGCCTGTAATTTGTGTGTTTCCCCAGTGAGCGATACTCATACTTCTGTTCATTGTCGGTGAAACAGATAGCCTATGGCCAGTCCAAGCCAGCAATGCATCTCTCTGAGTGACCATCCAATCTTCTCTTCCATCCAAATGCAATACCTCCATAGATGTGATCGGATTCTTCGTTGAAACCAGTGCTTTTATAGGACTCGTCGATGAGACTTTTTGATATAGGAAAGGAATTCCGAGAGGGGCTCGTCGAAATGGTTCAAGGATCGATAATGTTGATTGGGCCTACCCAATATATCAGCAAGCCATCCTTCCTATCCTAGTGCTTTCACCTCGAGCATGCTGACATTTTCTGCTTTTCCGCTCACTCCAACCAACGTTCCTCGTCGGGTGTATAATGTTTGCGATGCGGACAATGAGACTGAAAGAAGAGAGTAGGGCGCTCCAATGACTTCAAATCTTGCATCTGTAACACTTATTTTAGTATTCAGCCCCACGATCATTGCGAGGCTTAAACAAACCAGCAGGATCTGTAGAATCAAGAGTCTTGCTTAAAAGATCGCCATCCAAGGGAGCTTCCGATGCGCTGATTTGAAAATTTCTACATGCGGCAGGCGTATTCTTAATTGAACGGAGCTGCCGCGCACCGCGAGCAACGCGGCTTACACATGATCGTGAAATCATGACTGTTGTTCCTCTTTGATGTTCAAAGGGAAAAAAGAGAGGGGCTTCCGTTGTCGTTCGGAAAAGCTGCAGGAGTAGGCTGCATGTGCAATTTTCTGCCTTGTTAATCCTTAGGCGAGGCTGCAACATGAAATGTCGTAATAGCTTCGTACATTGTGGTGCTCACGAACTTTTTCTATAAATTGGTGGATTTCTAGTAGGTAACCATTCTTATCCGATTTTCTTTGAATAAAAGCGAACGGTATTTCTTTCAACTGTGCTTCTTTCATATTCCATTTAACCGCATTTTCATATTGGACAGATTTCTAAATTCTGGCTGTTTGTTGATTCCTTATCGATAACTACAACTTTATACATGGGGGTCTTCTTGGAATAGCTGAGGCATGCGCAGTCGATGATCTATGGGCAGTGAGAATAGATTTGGTTTACGATGAGCTTCCGAAGCTTACATAGCTTCCATGGAGCTTCTTGCATATATGCAAAAGCTTCATTGCGACATCCACGATGGGCACAGCCGGGGGTAGGCCTCAGGGTATTCACAAGCACCAATCGACTGTTGAAAGACATTCCCAAAGGCAGTGCTATCCAGAGCCAATCTTTGAGAAATGCGAAATCAGCGGACGACATACCTGGGTCGACGCCTGAGACGGCGAAAAAAGCCCCTCTTGCCATACCGACAACGGCGAGAAAAGATCCATTGGCCCTTGATGACAAAACAAACAAGGAGCAAAGGAAGGCGGACTGGGCGATCATAAAAGAGATGTCACAGTATTTGTGGCCCAAAGACAACATGGGAACAAGAGTTAGGGTTGGATTATCCCTCGGGTTGCTAGTTGGAGCTAAAGTGTTAAATGTGCAAGTACCTTTCTACTTCAAAAGCATCGTCGATGCTATGAATGTTGATTTTGCTGCTCTTGGAGGCACAGCTACAACCGTCGCCGGATCGATGATATTGGCTTATGGACTTACTAGAATTGGAGCTACATTGTTTCAAGAAGTAAGGAATGCTGTCTTCGCTAGCGTGGCTCAAAAGGCTATCAGGAGGGTAGCTTGCAATGTTTTTGATCATCTATTAAGACTCGATCTCAATTTCCATCTCTCGAAGCAGACTGGCGGGTTGACTAGAGCTATCGATAGGGGTACAAAAGGTATTAGCTTCTTGCTTACATCCATGGTTTTCCACATTTTCCCGACAGTGTTAGAGATATCCATGGTTTGCGGTATCTTGACCTATCAATATGGTGCCAAATTTGCGGCTATCACAGCTCTCACCATGGTGGGATATTCAGCATTTACCATCTCGACTACTGCTTGGAGAACAAAATTCCGAAGAGCCGCAAATGCCGCCGATAACAAAGGTTCGACAGTTGCTGTAGACTCTCTGATCAACTATGAGGCAGTCAAATACTTCAATAACGAGAAATACGAAGTTGGTAGATATGACCAGGCACTCAAAGCTTATGAGAAATCATCCATCAAGGTCGCAACATCTTTAGCATTCCTCAATAGTGGACAAAACTTGATCTTTTCAAGTGCATTAACTGCAATGATGTACTTAGCCGCAGACGGTGTAGCTACAGGAAACTTGACAGTGGGTGATCTTGTAATGGTCAACCAATTGGTCTTTCAACTCTCGGTTCCCTTAAATTTCCTTGGATCAGTATACCGAGAACTTCGACAATCCTTATTGGACATGGAAACGCTTTTCAACCTGCAAAAGGTCAATGTGGCTGTCAGGGAAGCTCCGAATGCGAAGCCCCTGCAGCTAACTAAAGGTGGCGAGATCACATTTGAGAATGTAACCTTTGGTTACCATCCAGACCGACCGATCCTGAAAAATCTCAGCATGACCATTCCTGCTGGCAAAAAAATTGCTATTGTTGGACCTAGTGGCTGTGGAAAATCAACAGTCCTGCGACTCTTATTCCGTTTCTATGATGTTCAAGAGGGAAGAATTTTGATTGATGGCCAAGACATACGAAATGTGAGTTTGGAATCACTGAGGAGAGCCATTGGCGTCGTTCCTCAAGATACACCACTTTTCAATGATTCCATTGAACACAACATCAGATATGGTAATTTGGAGGCATCTGACGAGAAAGTCAAAGAGGCAGCACAACGTGCAAAGATTCATAGCATCATCACAACGCTCCCCGATGGATATAAAACCATGGTTGGGGAACGGGGAATGATGATTTCTGGAGGAGAAAAGCAAAGATTGGCAGTCTCAAGACTTATCTTGAAAGATCCTCCGCTCTTGTTCTTTGACGAGGCGACATCTGCATTGGATACACATACGGAACAGGCACTCATGCAAAATATCAACAGCATTTTGAAAGGAAAATCAAGGACTAGTGTTTTCGTTGCTCATAGGCTCCGAACAATCTTTGATAGCGATAAAATCATAGTACTGAAGGAGGGGTCAGTGGCTGAAAGTGGGACGCATAGAGAACTGGTTGATACTGGTGGGGTATATTCCGATCTCTGGAGTGGTAAGCATCTTATTTCATTCTTATTTTTGTGTGCTCTGTCTCACCATTATTATAGTACAAGAAACTCTTTTTGCCGAAACGGAGAAAGGTAAAGAACGAGAGGTTAATATTCCCGACGTCTCGAAAGAAGAGAGTAGATAGATTTGATCGATAAGAAATTGTTATCTTGAATGGGCCAGTTGCATACATGCCGCAGGGTAAACCCCCTTTCACATTAAAGTCCCACCAATCGAGGCTGCATACAAGTGGGACTAGACGTTCTTGTGTGCTTCGAACCCCCGTAACACTGGATAACATTTACCCCTCAACACTGTACAGTACAGACCACCAAGCATCAACTTTCAAAGTGAACGCATTATCGTGCGTGCATTGTTTATATCTGTTTCATGATTTCAAATGAACAATTTATGGAATTGAATAAACATAATGATTGTGTTCGGCGCTGCACAAAATTGATCCAGACAAGCATCCACTTTAGAATTACTCGGGAAGACGGGTTCTAAATCCAGATAAAAGGCCTAACGAGTCACAAAGTCGGCTGGGGAATGAAGGCAAGACTGACAAGAGCCTTTTTAGCAGTTAGTTAGACCTTTTCCCGAAAGGAAATTTGATTTGACAACGCTTTGATCATGTAGTGATGGGTCCAGATGGCGTCTTCCATGCTCTTAAATTCTTCTAGGGAAACATCCGGGGCTGCTTGGAAAGTTGTACTACCCTGGCCACTTTCAATGTAGAAAACGTGCCAACGGCTGGTTGTGCCTTTGAGCTTGTACTATTCCAGTCTAACCCTCCGATCATGATCTGATTTCATTGGATACTAGACGAAAATCTATACCTTCCATCTGAATGGTCAGACCATGCCAGTTTCCGAGCCACTCTCCATGAGAAGCGTCCACTTTTCATCGGATCAGTGCAGCTTTATTTGTCTTAGACTGTCATGGATAAAATGATAATTCATGTAGAATCCTTGTATTTCACTCATTTCTTGTGGATTTTCGGATAATTTGGATGGAGCAGTATCCAAATTCGAGGTAATCTCAGGGAATACAATGAAATGCAAGCAGAAGCAAGTAAGAAAATCTGTGGATGAAGAGCTACGGGGCACACTCACTTGTAGAGACTAGAGCTTTCTATATGGCTTATCGCCAAGGACCAGAAGGTATTCTTTTCTTTCTGTCTTGCCTCAACAACTCGGTGAAGTAACGGTCTGTTCATCTATTCATTCTTGAGAATTTCTGACTCGACGCACATTCGAAGTATATACAAGCACATAAACATCTCCAAGTTTTGAATTTCACCGACTGTTGTAAATATTGTACTTCTCCGTTCATCTACTCACCCCATACAAACGAAATCTCGCGGCTTGTTTGATATTTGATCTTGACGAATAAGAATAGCCATTCCTGTGTTCGTTTCGCAGATAATACGGACGAAGCACCTCTGACGGGCTCAGAAGACTCTTTCCAAAATCGATTTATCGATTCTTTCCGATATCAATCTTCACATTCTCTGAATCAACCAATTATTCAGTCTCTCGCTTCTCTTCTCCTTCATTTTGGCTGACGGCCAATCCTCCCGCGATATCAATCTCACTCAAACACTCCACGCCCCACAACCCACACGAACGCAACCATGGTTAAACTTATCGACATGATCAACCAGAAGTTGGAGCTCTACAGACTTGAGAAGCGATATATCAATAGTCGAAACCGTCGCAGCACATTTGTCTCCGATGCAGTATATGTAGATGGCGAATACTACTCTGCAAACAACACGTATTCTGCAAACTGCACAGCAGGCGATGAAGATAGTGGAAGCAATTCATCCTCATCGAAGGATAGCAAACTTTCAAAAGATACAACGGGAAAGACAATGGCGTCAACAAGATCGAAGAGATCGAGTCTGATGGATTGGAGACGAGGAAGTGTAAGGGGGAAGCATAGCGATAGGGAAGGAACGAAGGTTAGTGTAAGGGAGTTGAATTGGGATGGAAGCGTGAGATCATAATTTGTAATTGCTACTGGTGAAGAAGTGGTTCGATTCTTTAAGTGGATGCATTGTTGAATGCACACTGGCGCGATGCTTTTCAGCGATAACCTTTTTCTTGTTTACGGATTTTATGAATTGTGATTACAGTAGGGGGGGACATGTAGTCATTACCCTTTTTTGTTTATTGAGTTGGGCATTCACTGCTCTGTGACTAGAGGGTGGAGTTTATTCATTTTCTTTGTTCATATTTTGCTGGCATTATATTGGAGAAAAGTCGATGGTGAATGGGTCGGGGTACTTGATGACTGGTTAAGGGGCAGAAATCAAGGTGGTATCTCACTTACATATAGCAAATACTCTCAGATGGAGAACACAGAATAGTAGATACTCACTATATAAAAGTCAAATTATCTACATTCTTATAAAGGTGTTGTTCATCGTGTCTCTCATTTCATACTAGTATAATTTCTCCAGGACACAGGGTGAATCTTTTTGAGGATTTCGGTAAACTTGGGAAGAGTTATCTGCATAATCGTGAAGCAGGAATAGAACGAACATGCTTCATAGCCCTTTTCTACTCGCTTGATGTTTCTTCCGCCATTGCTTTTTTCTCACAAAGCAGCAAATTCTCATCGATAGATTTTGTTGAAGTGCACAATCTTCTTTGTTGAAATGATTCGAGCCTCCCCAACGCATCAATTGGCATGAATGCTAACTTTGTGTTGTTGGAAAGGACACACTGAACAAAGCCTTCCAATTTCAAGGTACGCTCAACGAATCGCGAACTAAAAGTTCGATAGGTACTAAGAGCAATTGAATCCAATATTCAAAATTCTACAACTTCATGTGTAATTACATATATTGATCTTTGAAATACCATTCCTTATAATCATACGTCAAGATGAACATCGATCCAGCTATGGAAGAGGCCGAGAGATACCTCAAACAGAGCGAAGGCTGGGCGCCAGTACACATTGGTAAAGACTGGGTTGCCGTCAAGCGTCTGGGAGGTGGTTCTTATGGCATAGCTACTCTGTTTGAATATCGGGGACATAATCCAGATGTATCGCCGCGGCAACTAGTGGTTAAGCAGGAAGGAGGCGCAGGTTTGAATTTGAAACAGGAGAGTAGGGTGATACAAAGTCTTATGAAGTACGACAGTGACCATATCATCAAGATATATAAGGCTTATCATCGGACTATGGGCACGGTAAGCTATTGCTTCCCTTTATGATTCAGCTCAGAAGATACTGTTTGCAGCGGAAGATGCCCTGGTACTATGCTTTACTAATACAGTCGTAAATAGGGGACAAACGACGCTATGGACCGGGCTATTGTGGATTATGCTAATTGGCTGGATACTGACAAGAAGCGCGACGCCAATATTAAGGTACAGCTCAGGCGAAAATATGATGTCGCAAGGATTTATCTGGAATTTGCATCTGGAGGGGACCTAGGAAGTTGGATGTTCGAAAACTGCCAGGACCAGCGCCCTCCAGAGGAATACATTTTTAGGATATGGGAATGTTTGTTGAAGGCACTGATGGTTTTGAAATATGGGACAGAGAATCCAAATGATTCAATCTTTGAAAAAGAGCCAAAGGATCGTCTGCATCAACCAATTGCACATTTTGATATCAAGGGACCAAATAGTAAGTTGCACGCTAGAACCGGAGTTTGCTTGCAAATTTCCAGTAACGATGCTAACATTGTGTAGTTTTGTGAGTAAAAGTCTTTTTACAACTTTCCTTCTTCATATGAGAGATAAGGAACACGAATATAAGCAGAGTGCATTGCAGATATATGAAACCTCTATCAGAGGACCGAATGCTAAATGTTTCTTCATGTAGAATTGGCGATAATCCTCGACCAGGCCATGAACGGATATCGGTTCACAAGGTGCGTACTAATATGTACAAAATCTCACAATTTCAAATGTTGAGAATTCAAACCCAAATAGTGCTAACCCAAGGCCAACCATAGCTTGCCGACTTCGGGCTCGCACTTGAAGTTCCTGACGCCGAAGTATTGAAAAGGAGTGCTGCCAAACGGCGAGAATGGCTCAAGATAGCTCAAGGACGCAACACCTACTATGCACCTGTATGAACCTTATTGATTAGTTTTCCTTGCATTTCAAGCTCCGTTTTCGATCAGGCTCACCATTCGTGTCGCTCAAACTAACTCATCCACAGGAACAATTTTTGGTCGGCAATCCAAACCGCGTGATAGGCACCTCAACCGACGTGTGGAATGTTGCTAATGTTATTTACCAATGCCTAGTAAATAATAATGCTGTGCCCGACAATGAATTCTTCGAGACAGGAGTCGATCCCGAACCCTCCGAGACATTCCTGACTATGGGCAAATATCTCTTGCATCCCGAACTAGAAGTTTATAGTAGGAGATTTAGGGGGTTGATTTTAAAGTCTTTAGCATATTATCCCGGAGAACGTCCGGATGTACGGGATTTACTAGTACAGGTACAAGAATCTGTAGATTTTTGGAATTTTGGCGAAATTCATGACTTGTTTTTGGAAGGCATTTATGGAGGGGAAGATGGGTGGGATGAAAAATATCCGGATGCTACTCGGAGATCGAAAAAATATCAAGGTATGCAAATGATCAGGTTGCAAAAGGAGAGGCAGCCACGAAACCCAGACTACAGTAATCCAAAATGGTGGAAACCGGCAGAAGATGAATATGATTACGATGATTATGATCTTTTATTTCCGACTCGCAAGGCGCTTCAAATGGGGTATAGAGAAATGCCGTTCGAATTGGGAAAGCCGATACGCAACCCGATGTTCCCTGATTGGAGAGCAGTCGGACCAGACGGAAGGCCGGTGCGAGGTCCTACAGAGCCAGACTTTGATGATCCAGAAGATGACCCTGAAGATGATGCAGACGATCCGGAGGATGGTGCAGCCGACCCAGAAGATGATCCAGAAGATCCAGAATACGTTCCGAAGGGAGGAGATCAACGCGCCTACAATAAGGGGAAAAGAAAAGGAGGAGAAGAACCAATATTCGTAAGAGCCTTAGCCATCGAGCGGGGCGTAAAAAGAATGCGCACACCTGAGGAACAAGAAGCTGTTCCCTGGATAAAGCCCCCCCCTCCTGTCAAAATCGCCCTAAAGAGACGAGCTCGAAGAGCCAAACGCCGAAAACCCCAACGCCGAATAGTCCAACCTAAACGTAAACAAGAACTTCGTGTGGCACCTTACCGCGATGCAAAGAGACAACGAATAGCGGACCCTAACTCTCCGCAGTTTTATGGAAAGGAATATAAAATGAATACTGCGGGGAAACTGATGGTTCGGCGTGCAGGACCTTTGCCTAGAACGGGAGAAATAGAGGTAGAGAGGAGCACGCCGTGGGCTTTGAATCAACCGAGTCCGCGAAAGCCCGTTAGAGGGGAACGAGATAACTATGATAACTGGTATAATGAGGCTTGAGATGTGGGATGGAATTCAAGGTTGTGGGCCGAACTTGCTCGATTACTTTAGATGGCATATTGTGAAAGGAGGAAAAGATTGTTCGTTGTGCTGGGGGACTTATGCGTGAATGGCCAGAGTTCAAGGGATGTTTAGGTTTTTAAGTCAAGCTGCTATATTCAAGGCACATAGTGAAAGTATATTGAAGTTTATATCTTACTGTAATGTTAGATAGGTAGTATAGTATCAGATTTTAATGAAATTCCGTTCTTCTTCGCTGTTGTTGGTTTGAAGTAATACAAAATAGGCATCTCTCCAATAGAAAAGACGAGGTGATATTGGAAAGAACAAACGCCTATCTCTATGGAACCCAGGAATAACAGAAGATTATAATTCGTCAACCACAGGCATGTCGTTACCAACACCAATCTCGGGTTCGACAATTACATTCACTACTTCAATTTCCTCAGCAACTTGCTCTGAGTTGGTTTCTGTAATTTTCAAAAAATCATCAACTACTAATCTTGCGACATTTTTCCCCATCAATGCGCTTGTTTCCATAGTGCTGATGAAAGATTCAATACCGCTAGTGTAGTAGATACCAGGCGCTAGTTGAATCTCCTCGAATGTTACGCGAGGATATTCGTATGGATACGAGTACCAGACGTGGGGGTAGTACCATGTAATTGTGTTATTTGCTGTAGGAGAAATGGTGGTAAGGTCTTCAGGGATAGGGACTTCGCTGTTGAGGACTGAGGAAAGGAACTCGGAAGTCAAGGGGCGAGGAGAGAAGATCTTGTAAAGATTTTCGTATTCGAGGGTGGTAGGATTGATAACCTTGCGGAGAGTGGAGATGGAGAAAAAGCCAACAGGGCCGGCGAAGTCTTTGGGATCAGTGGGGGCGGAGATGTTCTTGGGGAGAGTGGTGAGGATTGTAGTAGGGACCTGCTCGGTGGGGCCGAGGTTGAAATAGGCTGGGTTGAGGCCATAGGGAGAGGTGAAGAGGGTTACGTGAAGGGTTACGTAGGGGATTTCGTCGGGGGTATGTTGAAGGAGGTCAGACGACATTTTGATGTCGGTGTATTGAAGTGGAGCGGCGATAATGATGGTGTCGAATGGTTCTTCATTAATATGAGAAACACCAATAGCATCTGTAGTAATGGTTTTGACATTGTACCTTTCTTGGTCCTGAACTTGGGAAATCTCGGTAATGGTGTGGTTTAGACGAACAGTGGCATTTGAGGATTGAATCATGTTGTCAAAGATTTGCCAATTGCCGCCTTGAATCTGCATTGCACCTTCGATTGCCATACAAACCATGGTCTCTACGCCATGAATGACGTTTAGGTTTTGACCATAGTTGACCCGAGTAGATGCTTGAATCAGATCAGTTGTGAATGAACCCTCAATCTAAATATTGTTAGTTTCATTATGATAGGACATACATTTAGACTCACATTGTTTTGAGCCAAGAACTGTTCGCCCGTTACGGATGCCACAGTTTTGAGGTCTAGTTCCTCTATCCTTTCCGTGAGAGATCTAAATGGAAAGTATGGTGCTTCGTAAAGTTGTAAGAACTTTCCAACCACAGTTTTCATCAAGCGTTGAGTCTTCAATGGGGCAAGTCCATATTTCCAAAACATCTTTGCAATATCCCAATACTTCCAATCGCTATCCTTCTGAGTATAAACAAATTCTGCGCCATCCCAGATACCAAGAATTTCAGCTTCTTCGGTGTTGGATGATTTTGCATGCAAGTCGAATTCTCGGCTTGCATTTTTTAGAATTGCATTGACGTCAACGAAGATACTGGCTCCCAATTCCACGGGCTCCAATGAATTACCATATGCGTTCACTGTGGTCGAACGACCTCCAATATAAGAGGATCGTTCGAAAACAGTGACATTAATTGCAAGGTCGGATTCAGCAGCATACTTCTGTAAATGATATGCCGAGGAAGACCCGCCTGCTCCAGCACCTGATATTCTGTTAGTGAAAGGCAATGAGGATATTACTTGTATTTTGATGCTGAGTGGAAGTATACATCTTCAGGGTATCTGACGGGTATGCAGATTCTCATGAAATTTGAGGTAATATACAAGAGAAACGAAGGGAACAGATAGATAGTAGCCAGCTAAGGGATGGGGCAATACCCCTATTTTGGGTCCCCTCTGAAAGACAGGAATTATAACAAAAGTTGTACTCCATGAAGGGAAGATCATCATGAAAGATCACACGGCAACATTGACGATAATGGTATGAGGAGAAGTATCAATACATACCAATAATTGCAATTCGTTTTGCATGACTATCAGCATACTCGTACGTTGTTGATTCTATGATAGGCTCTTGTTCAGCAACAGCTTGAAATTTAAATGGCCATGACAAAAACCCAAGACTTTCTCCGGAGAGAAGAGTAACAATAAGTGCCAATACGAGATTCCAGCCTCGATACATTTTGAAAATATTGAACAAATAGTAAACAAACAATTGATGGAGTTATTTATTAACAGATCTGTGGTCAGCGTAAACAATGCCTTGTAGCTTAAAGTGGTAGCCTCGCCTTAGTACCAAATTGAGACTAGCGTGAACCTCGTGTGGGAATTCACGTCGCCCATAGAAAAAAAAGCTCGCGACGTTGAGGGACAAAATACACAGCTTCTCGCCACGATAACGCCATATAACTTCATTTTAATTACATACGAAGTTATTGTATTCTGTCAGAATGTCTGCCGCACAATTATTGAACCCAAAGGCAGAGTCCAGAGTATGATTTTTCCTATCTAAATTTGAGATGCAGCTACTGATTTGTAGTAGAGAAGAGGGGAAGCTTTGAAAGTCAATATCAGTGCAGGTGAAGGTTTACAAGATGTTTTAAAGTCAAACTTGGGTCCTATGGGAACCATTAAAATGTTAGTTCTCGTCCTCCCCTGAGCCTAGAATATGCTAACATTTCTAAAGGTTGGTTGACGGTGCTGGAGCGGTATGAAAGCCTTATTGATGCAACAACGAGAATAACCCTCTAATAATCGATCCACAGATAAAACTTACAAAGGATGGAAACGTTCTGTTACGTGAAATGCAAATACAAAACCCTACGGCAGTTATGATTGCACGAGCAGCAACCGCACAAGATGATATTTGTGGTGATGGCACAACCTCAGTTGTTCTTCTCGTAGGAGAGCTTTTGAAACAGGCAGATAGATATATTTCCGAAGGTTTACATCCCAGAATTATCACAGATGGTTATGAAATTGCAAAGACAGAAGCGTTGAAGGTTGGTAGGATATCAATTATTGGCGGGGTAACACTGACACTTTGCAGTTCCTGGACACCTTCAAAATTGAGAAGGAAGTCGACCGTGAACTTTTACTTTGCGTTGCCCGAACCTCCCTTTCTACAAAACTCAACCACACTCTGGCGGAGAAGCTCACTCCTGATATCGTCGATGCGGTCCTATCGATTTATCAAGCCCCGGCAAAGCCCGATCTCCACATGGTCGAAATTATGAAGATGCAACACAGAACCGCCTCAGAGACTCAGTTGATTCGAGGTCTTGCTTTAGATCACGGTGCTAGACATCCAGATATGCCAAAGAAGGTCGAGAACGCATTTATTCTCAGCTTGAACGTCAGTTTGGAGTACGAGAAGTCCGAAATTAACTCCGGTTTCTACTATTCGAGCGCGGAACAAAGAGATAAACTCGTGGAGAGCGAGCGTCGTTTTGTTGACGAGAAATTAAGAAAAATTGTTGAGTTGAAGAAAGAGGTTTGCGGAAACGACCCCAAGAAAGGCTTCGTTATTATCAACCAGAAGGGTATTGATCCATTATCACTCGATGTCTTGGTTAAGAACGGAATCTTTGCTCTGAGAAGAGCTAAGCGAAGAAACATGGAAAGATTACAATTAATTTGTGGTGGTACGGCACAGAACAGTGTGGATGATTTAACTCCTGACATTCTTGGATGGGCTGGAAATGTTTATGAGCATCAATTGGGAGAGGAGAAGTACACTTTCATCGAGGATGTAAAGGAGCCAAAATCTGTGACCCTTCTCATCAAGGGACCAAATCAACACACCATTACTCAAATCACCGATGCAGTCCGTGATGGTCTTCGCAGTGTTTACAACATGATTGTAGACAAGAGCGTCGTACCAGGAGCTGGTGCTTTCCAGGTTGCTTGCGCAGCACATTTGAACAGCGAAGCTTTCCGCAAGACTGTCAAGGGTAAGGCGAAGTGGGGTGTTCAAGCTTTCGCTGACGCTCTTCTCGTTATTCCTAAAACTTTGGCAGCAAATGCTGGTCATGACATTCAAGATTCGCGTAAGTTGCATTTTCACCTAAACCTTTTTCATCGCGCTAATGTGTATCACAGTTGCTAGCTTACAGGATGAGCAAGCAGAAGGCAACATTGTCGGTCTTGACCTCAAGACTGGTGAACCTATGGATCCAGTCTTGGAGGGTGTATATGATTCTTTCCGTGTACTGAGGAATTGTGTTGCATCGAGTTCTGGTATTGCATCCAATCTTTTGCTCTGTGATGAATTGCTCAAGGCACGTCAAATGGGTAGAGCAAAGGGACCGGGTGATATGGATGGATAAATTCATGAATAAAAGAAGCCTAATGATCATTTGTAACGACTTTATTGGGAAGGTAGATAAAATACATGCATGGTATTTTTATAGGTTCGCATCTCATTCTTTTTGAGATGTAACTCTGTATATTATTACCGTATCTAGAGAGGTCATGTAGAGTGTCTACCATATTCATACCTAGGTAAATAGAGATGAAATGAATGATTTGATGAAATTTATCATTACGATGTATATGTAGTTTACAATAATGCCTCCCAAGAAGACTTTCTCCGCATTTCTTGTCTTGGTAGTGATGGATATTTGTTTCGGATAAGCTCTGCCGTGCCAAGAAGTGGCTGTGGATGTTTTGGATGATTTGCGGCATAGGTGGCCGTCTCCCGAATGGGATGATCTGTGTATTTGTCTGACCTTCCAGAATTATTTG